TGAAACGATGATGATGATGTATGTTCAGGGCTGCATTACAACATTGATTGTTCGGATCACTGGTATCTAAGTCTTCCGCTGTGCTATCTTATACCTTGTATTGAAAGGTCGGTTCTTGTTCTGGTCTGCACCTATACGGTATGCAACACTCGCTCTCCTCCCTACTTTGCCTTCTACCCTCACCTCGTGGCTATCGCCGCTATCACCTTCTTTTCTACCCTAACTTGGGCGCCCGATTGCTCTTCGTCTTCACCCTCAACCCCGAATTGACACAGTGACCTGATGCTGCACTGTAGCAACTATAAATAGAAGCACAAGTGAATCGTTGTCGGCTCCAGACTGGTACTGGTAGATGCGGCCTGTGGGCTGCAAGTTGCCAGTTCGGGAACTTACCGGGCTTTCCCAGGATGCTGCTTCAAAAGTGGACTTTGGGACTGTAGATTTTTCTTGACGGGTACTGAGCGGACGACTTCTAACAACCTGACTGTCGGACCCTGCGGACCTACGATGCTTTGACACCTAGACCCTACTGGACTCCTAGGACCCTCTAGCTGGGACCTGCTGGGACCAGATGGGACTGGGCCCAGGTGGGACTCGGGGACCAGGACTTGAGGCATGGACACAGCGTGAAATCCTTTCAAGTTAATCCTCACTCCTCTCCAGGAGCACACTCCAGGCCTCCAGCCAGCAGAGAAAAGAAAACCAATGCCGAGTAAGTGAGATACTCTTATCCCCCCATGTGGGGCCAATGCTGTTGGCAGGCATGCTCCTGGTCCATCAGGTGGCCTGTGGCATACTGATACCACACGGGCCCCAGTTAGGGCCCGGTTCTGTAGTAGGCACGGTTTAGGCCTAGGTACCGGGTCACGATGGTCCCAGACAGGTCCAGGTAGGCCTAGGAACCGTCGGTTCAGTTTAGGGTCCGGTAGGCCTCGTTCAGACCCCACCAGACCCAACGGCTAGTTGGTGAGGCCAGGTACCGGTCCATCGGCAGGACCGGCCGGCGGCGCAGTTTAGGCGCCACTGTTTCAGATTTTGAAATCGGTTCTGAACCGTTGGGCCCGATCAACGGGCCAGACCCGAAGGCACTCAGTAGGACTGAGGCCGACCCAGCACTATATAAACTGGGTACCAGGCTCAGTCGGGTAGGTTAGTGGCGAGGATGTTAGTATACAGGATTAGCGCAGCACTTCAGCATTAGCAGCGGAGCAGCGGAGAGAATCAGCACAGCGTGGAGGAGAGATAGCGCAGCGGCAGATTAGCGCAGTGGTGGAAGAGCGCCAGCCTCCGGCCCAGCCCGCGGCCCAGCGCCAGCCCTGCAGTGCCATAGCTGCCTTGCGCAGGTATCAAGGAGAAAGGCCTTGCCTTTCCTTCCTCTTCTTCCTCCTCCACTCTCTCTCTCTCTCTCCTCCTACTCTCTAAGTCTAAGTCTACTTGTGGGTTACTTCTACTGGACCACTACGAGTATGAAGGATGGTTACAAGTTCTGATGATGTTGGAGATAGCAACATTGAGACTGCAGGTTGAGGACTAATTGGGATCTGATTTCATCTACCTCTGGAGATATACCTTGACATTGTGAGATCGATATCTGAGACACTGTGCGACTCTGTGTTTGCAACATTTCGGATTTTCGCTATTTCTGACATTTCGAGATACTATCTTTGGAAACATTGAGTTGACGTCATCTTCCCTCTCCTCCTCCCTTCGTCTCTCCTCCCCTCCATTCATCCGTGAATGAGAATTGACCCTGACCGTTTCTTCTATGACCAAGGCCAGGGCTTCCCACCACTGATGTATGTTTGTGAGTGTTTCGTTTCAGTCTGAGTCATGTCTGAGTCAATCCATGTATCTCAACTTTCTCAAGTCTTCCGCTGTATTTGTATGTACTCTGTATTATCTGGTCGGTTCTGGGAATCTGCGCCATACTTATGACTGTGTTTCACGAGTATGCAACAGTTTGGTATCGGAGCAGACCAGCATTGGATGACTCACCATTGATTGATTGATTGATTGATTATCTACACCTGTACTCTGTTATCATTAATCGCAAGTTGCAACTTTTTTTCTGTTTCTTCTTCTTACATAGTTAATTAGGTCGTTTGAATTCCAATTTTAGGTTTGGCGGCTCTCTCCATAATGCGCACAATTAGGAAATCGCTAATTACGATTAACCTAATTAGCGCTAATTAGGGTTAGTCCTAACCTAATCTACCGACCTACCAGGCTATGGGAAGTAAGTGCCAGCCAGGCAACTCGCCAATGACGGCAAATCGGGCCTAGCACGGCCACATTCAACTGCAACTTCACGGAACTTTCACTTTTGCAAATCCCATCTTTGTTTTGCGATTAAAGATTGAATCTTTACAGCAAATGGTGTATCTTCCTACTACCATTGATCTTCTACTTAGCTCATGACCTCGTAAGGATGCTGAATTCTCCCGATTAAATTTCATGAAATTATTTAATTAAATATTCTGATTAAATGTTTAGTCTGATTTAAACTTTATTCAATTTTATATTTTTTTTGCAAAATTAAGTATTTTTTAATTAAATATTTAATGTTTGCCAAATTAAAATTTTATTTAATTAACTCTTACTTAATTAATTTAATTATAATTAAATATTTTTCGAAATTCAAATTTTTTCGTGGGGGGGAATTTTTTTTTTCTTGATTAGCATCAAGTCTGAGGTCGGGGACAGAAAGGGACTGTCTGTGCATTTGCTTGCCTCTCTCCCTTCTCCCCACCCCTACCTTCTCCCTCCTCCTCTCGGTACTGCGGACTTCAGTCTCCGGCCACGTCAGCATTGTGCCACATCAGCAGCGTGCCACCTCAGCGTGCCACAACAACAGATTGCCAATCGTCAGCGTGCCACCTCAGCAGTGCCACATCAGCAGGGTGCCACCTCAGCAGTGACACATCAGCGGCAACGAAGCCAGGACTACTAGATGTGCCGCAGTCAACAACTTGCTGAGCACGGATCCAAGGGAACCAAGCCCCAACAGGGACCTAAGACACCTCGGGTCCCGTGCAGACGACGCACGATCATGGCCGCTACCGCTGACGCAAATTCACAAGCCAGCATCGTGAGGCCGGTTACTCCTCCTATGCCAGTTCAACAGGCAGATGAAACGCTACAAGTGTTTCTTGACCGTCTCCAGCTATACTCGGAGACTACTGCAGCTGAACTTCGCAAATGGGAACAAGAAGAAGCCGCCCGCCAGCAGGCGATCCAACGACAGCTGGCAGAGGCCAAGGCAGCGCGTCAGCAGGCCGCAGCAGAAGCTGCAGCGGCCACGCGGTTACAGCAGCAGCAGACGGAGGCAAGTCAGAATCAAGTTCGTTACCAAGCCACAACGGAGCTCGCCAACAAAGAAGCCACGTACCGGAGGATACTTCGACAGCAGCACTTTCACGCAAACGAAGAACGAGAGGAGCCGACCGAGGAAGAGAGAAGCAAGGAGGCAATAGCAGTACTGATGGAAACTGTGCTGTACACATGCAATTGGCAGCAACGCGAACTGCTGGCCATGCGGCAAATCTTCATCCGCTACGAAACAACTTTTCGGGCGCTGGAACAGAAGATCACCGCCTTGCAGACAGCGAACAGCGATCAGCAGGCCATCAACGACCAGCTGCAGACCACTGTCAGCACAGGGTTCGCACCACTGTCTGCAGTTGAGTCGACGGGCAGTGCAGTAGCAGACTGCAGCCCAGCTTTGGCCGCCCAAGCCAAACAACTCGACGAGCGGATCAACCACGTAGTCGCATCCCTTGGCGACATCAGGAAGTTCGCCGGGACGTCGACGGTCAGCAATCAGCTGCAGACGCTCAGCGACCGCGTTCAACAACGAACGGCCGCCGTCGTCAAGGAATGGAAGATGGCGAACTTCAAGATTGAGAAGTTCGACGACTACCACAAGACTGATCCGCTGTAATGGTGGATGGCATTCAACGCAGAGGCGGACATACATCACGTCCCACCACTGCAGCGGCTTGACGCGTTCTACCTCCAGCTCATTGGAGGGCATGACGCACATGGCCGTCACGTTGGATTGCACCATCGCCACCCTCCATACCAAGATCTCTTGGGAGGAGTTCGAGAAGAAGTGGAAGACCCGGTTCATGGTCAACAACGACAAGCGTCACGCATTGAACAAGATCTTCCGCATCTTTCAAGGCCAGCAAACATCACGGGAATGGCTGACGGAGTGGCAAAGACTCGTCGCCACCTCGGAGTTGAACCTGCCTTTCGACGCAATCCGGGCCGAGTTCTTCGCCCGATCTTGCGACGGCTTGACAGCTGCCCTTGGCAGCGAATTCCAGTATGAGAACTTTGATGAGATGATCTCAAAGGCAAGGAGAACTCATACAAGGTAACCGGCGCTCGGCCAATGAGGCCCGCCAACAGCCCGGTTGCGTGGAGAAAGGCAAAGGTCCGCGGACGCCGCAAGTAGCAGCGATCCAGCAAGGATCTAGTGAGGACCACGCAGCTGTTTCAACATCAAGTGACGGAGATGTGGCGGCAGCGATAGCACCCCAACACTCAAGACCCCGTGGGGGCAAACACAAGGCGAGAACAACGTCGGCGGATGGAGCGAGATAGTCACCATGCACGGGATCACCGAAGACATGTTCAAGTTACGGCAGAAATGCGCTGTTTATAGTGCAACAACACCAAACACATCACTAGTGCCTGCCTCGACAAGGACAAAGAAAATGTCAAGCGTCCAGGCTTGGGAAACTTAGCACCGCGAGAAGTGCAGCGGCATCACTTTCCAGTCCGCCGGACTCGGCTGCCTTGCTAGCAGTCTCTCTCACATCCCCGGACACCGAGGTAGTTGCAAGTTCTCGGATTGACTTCAAGAACTATGCTCTCCAGCTGGTCCCGCCGTTGACCCAGCCTCTCCACGTGCAAGATTCAAGTGCATGCGCGGTGTTACCGCCGTCGAACAACGAACCGGTTGCTTCACCAGCCCTTCTATCGGAGGATCCGTCAACTTGGGCGAGTCTTGAGGAACTCGACCCGTTGACGGTTGAGGACTTCCAATGGTTGCTTCTATGGGCACTGCGTGGATCGTCGTGCCTTTCGGTCTCACCAATGCCCTGCCTACTTTCCAAGCGGCTATGACGACGAAATTTCGTGACTTGCTCGGCCACACCGTACTCATTTACCTTGATGATATCTTGGTTTATAGCCGGTCGCTGGACGAGCACCTTGAGCACCTTCGCGCCATTTTGGAGCGGCTCCGTATCGCCAAGTACAAGGCAAATCGCGACAAGTGGGAGTTTGCCCAGCAAGAGCTGGAGTATTTGGGCCATTACGTTACGCCGCAAGGCATTCGTCCGCTCGCAAACGAAGTACAAGCCATTCAAGATTGGTCGGACCTCGCATGTACTACTGACGTCCGCTCCTTTCTTGGCTTAGCATCATACTACATGCGCTTCGTCAAGATTTTCCAACGGATCGCTGCACCATTGTCGCGACTTCAGTACCCCTTGGTGCTCTTCGAGTTCAATGACGAAGCCCGACACGCGTTCCATATGTTGAAGACGACTTTGCTTCAGGCTCCCGTCTTAAGCATCTATGACCCGACCTTGCCAACCAAAGTGACTACGGATGCTTCCGGCTACGGCATTGGCGTGGTTTTGGAACAACATAACGACACAGACTGGCATCCGGTTGAGTACTTCAGCCAAAAGGTGTCGCCCATCAATTCCCTTGATGATGCAAAGAAGAAGGAATTGCTAGCTTTTGTCACATTACTTGAGCGTTGGCGTCACTTTCTCCTCGGGCGTCGCCGATTCACGTGGGCAACAGACAACAATCTGTTGACTTATTACAAGACGCAAGACACGGTGAGCAGCACGATCGGTCGCTGGATGTATTTCATCGACCAGTTCGACTTCACCTCCAAGCATATTCCGGGCCCCTTGAACAAGGCAGCGGATGCTCTCTCGCGAAGACCCGATCTTTGCACCTTGCTGCACTCCACATTCGGCCTCGACGAGGACCTACAACAACATTTCGTAAACGGCTACAAGTCTGATCCCGGATTCTCCACACTCTACACAGACTTATCATCGGATCAACCCCGACAAGCAACTATCGCATCGCCAATGAAGATAAACCTACTGCTAATACCGATGGACCGGTACCTGGCCTCACCAACTAGCCGTTGGGTCTGGTGGGATCTAAACGAAGCCTACCAGACCCTAAACTGAACCGACTGTTTGTAGGCCTACCTGGACCTGTCTGGGACCGTTGTGACCCGGTACCTAGGCCTAAACTATGCCTACTACAGAACCGTGCCCTAACTGGGGCCCGTGTGGTATCAGTATGCCACACACCCCCCCCCTTGAAGACCGAGCTAACTGCGAGGGCGAARCTGTTTGTCCGATGTCCGTACGGGGCGGGCGGGTTGGGCAGCTTCCTTAGCAAGTCGCTGTTTTTCGTAATGCGCGAAGATGAGGGGTGCTGTCGCCTTCAGGTCAGCTCGTGAAATCCAACGTGTATCGTCGGGATCGCATTGCTTGAAAGTAACTTTGTACTGCATCGGCTTGTTGCCGTACTTGCGATGAGCGAGGACGGGGTCGACCTCCATTGCTTGAAAGTAACTTTGTATTGCATCGGCTTGTTGTCGTGCTTGCGATGAGCAAGGACGCGGTCGACCTCCTGGTGACCATCCATTGAAGGAGGGTCGTGGGGCCGTCTGCCTGGGAATTCCGATTGTGAGGCTGGAGTATAGACCGCCAGCTTCGAAGCGTGAAATACAGGGTGGACTGTCAGATGCAGGGGAATCTCGATTATGAAGGAGGGACCCACGGGGTCGTCGCCAGCTGCTGAAGTGACCTTCCATGGCCCAAACCACTTAGGGAGGAGCTTGCACGAGACGTGCTGCTCGAGCGCGAATTCCTCGGAGGTGACCCAAACAAGGTCGCCAACACGGATTGGACATGGGATGCGACACTGGTTCGCTTGCTGCTGCATACGGACCTGAGCCTTTTGCATATTTGCGTGGCCTTTGGCCAACAGATCCCTATACTTCCGTGTAGAAGCGGGGGAGCAAGCGACGTCGGTATCGGCAGCCCGTGGAAGCAGAATGTCTACGAAGATGCGGCCTTTCCGTCCACCGTGATGCGACTCAAATGGAGTCACGCCGATCGTTGGGTGCACCGAAGTGTTGTAGGTGAACTCGATGTCGGGAAGGAGGTCAACCCAATCCTTCTGATCCGGGCGGATGAGTGTGCGGAGCATCATCTGCGCAGTCTGGTGCGCACGTTCCGTTTGCCCATCCGTTTGAGGATGTCGTGCACAACTCGGTCTCATGCTGGTGCCGGATTCCACCATGAGTGTCGTCCAAAAGGCTGACATGAAACGAGTGTCGCGGTCGTTGACGATGTCTTTCGGAACACCATGGCTGCAAAACCAGCCGGTGTGCAAGAGTCGTGCGAACTCGGGAGCTGTCGCATGATACTTTCGTGGAAGAAATCGAGCGTACTTGCTCAAATGGTCGACGACCGTGAGAATACCATCATGGCCAAGGCGATCGTGAGGGAAAGGATCGGTCACATCCATAGCAATGGAGAGACCTGGTTCCCGAGGAATCGGCAATGGTTTCAGTTCGTCGTTCGGGAGCTGATGGCACCCTTTGTTCCGGTGGCAAACTGCACATGACTGAATGTACCGGTTGACGTCGTTGATGATGTCCGGCCAGTGAAATCATAGGCGGAGTCGTGCCAGTGTGTGTGCGACGCCAAGGTGTCCCGCCAACCGCGAATCGTGGTATTCGCCAAGGAGGCGAGTGGGCAAGATGCGGTCTTGGGGAACACACAACAAGTCCTTGCCTCGCGTATACTGCTGCTGGACAAGCAGTAGGAGGCATTGCTAGACAACCAGAAGCAGAAGGAAAAATTCGAGGTACCTTGTTACTTAGTTTGGCCTTTAAGGAGGCTTTAACTATTTATGGTTTAGTTGTTGCTTTAGCATTATTATTTGCAAACCCTTTTGTTTAAATAAATAGACCTGAATCTAACAAAANCAGATCAGGTACCGGGGAGGAAGGCCTTACCTTCTCTCCCTCTGTTCCTCCGCCCCTTCTCTCCCTCCCTCTCTCTCTCCCTCTCTCTCTCCTCCTACCTTCTCAGTCTAAGTCTACTCCTGGGTTCTCCTACGGGACTACTACAAGTATGAAGGATGGTTACGAATTCTGATGACATTGGAGACAGCGACATTGGGACTACAGGTTGAGGACTACTAGTGGGATCTGATTTCATCTTCCTCGAGAGATGTACTTGACATTGTGAGATTGATATCTGAGATATGTGAGACACTGTGTTCGCGACATTTCGGATTTTCGCTACCTCTGACATTTCAAGATACTATCCTTGGAAACATTGAGTTGACGTCATCTTCCCTCTCCTCCTCCCTTCGTCTCTCTCCTCTCTCCCTTCGTCCGTGGATGATCTCAGACCCTGGCCTTTCGTCTATGTCCAAGGCCAGGGATTTCACACCCCGGATGTATGATTGAGAGTGTTCGTTTGCAGTCCGAGTCAGGTCAGAGTCAGTCCATGTACCTCAAGTCTTCTGCTGTATTTGTATTTACTCTGTATTATCTGGTCGGTTCTGGGAATCTGCGCCATACTCATGACTGTGTTTCACGAGTATGCAACAGTTTGGTATCGGAGCAGACCAGCATTGGATGACTCACCATTGATTGATTGATTGATTGATTATCTACACCTGTACTCTGTTATCATTAATCGCAAGTTGCAACTTTTTTTCTGTTTCTTCTTCTTACATAGTTAATTAGGTCGTTTGAATTCCAATTTTAGGTTTGGCGGCTCTCTCCATAATGCGCACAATTAGGAAATCGCTAATTACGATTAACCTAATTAGCGCTAATTAGGGTTAGTCCTAACCTAATCTACCGACCTACCAGGCTATGGGAAGTAAGTGCCAGCCAGGCAACTCGCCAATGACGGCAAATCGGGCCTAGCACGGCCACATTCAACTGCAACTTCACGGAACTTTCACTTTTGCAAATCCCATCTTTGTTTTGCGATTAAAGATTGAATCTTTACAGCAAATGGTGTATCTTCCTACTACCATTGATCTTCTACTTAGCTCATGACCTCGTAAGGATGCTGAATTCTCCCGATTAAATTTCATGAAATTATTTAATTAAATATTCTGATTAAATGTTTAGTCTGATTTAAACTTTATTCAATTTTATATTTTTTTTGCAAAATTAAGTATTTTTTAATTAAATATTTAATGTTTGCCAAATTAAAATTTTATTTAATTAACTCTTACTTAATTAATTTAATTATAATTAAATATTTTTCGAAATTCAAATTTTTTCGTGGGGGGGAATTTTTTTTTTCTTGATTAGCATCAAGTCTGAGGTCGGGGACAGAAAGGGACTGTCTGTGCATTTGCTTGCCTCTCTCCCTTCTCCCCACCCCTACCTTCTCCCTCCTCCTCTCGGTACTGCGGACTTCAGTCTCCGGCCACGTCAGCATTGTGCCACATCAGCAGCGTGCCACCTCAGCGTGCCACAACAACAGATTGCCAATCGTCAGCGTGCCACCTCAGCAGTGCCACATCAGCAGGGTGCCACCTCAGCAGTGACACATCAGCGGCAACGAAGCCAGGACTACTAGATGTGCCGCAGTCAACAACTTGCTGAGCACGGATCCAAGGGAACCAAGCCCCAACAGGGACCTAAGACACCTCGGGTCCCGTGCAGACGACGCACGATCATGGCCGCTACCGCTGACGCAAATTCACAAGCCAGCATCGTGAGGCCGGTTACTCCTCCTATGCCAGTTCAACAGGCAGATGAAACGCTACAAGTGTTTCTTGACCGTCTCCAGCTATACTCGGAGACTACTGCAGCTGAACTTCGCAAATGGGAACAAGAAGAAGCCGCCCGCCAGCAGGCGATCCAACGACAGCTGGCAGAGGCCAAGGCAGCGCGTCAGCAGGCCGCAGCAGAAGCTGCAGCGGCCACGCGGTTACAGCAGCAGCAGACGGAGGCAAGTCAGAATCAAGTTCGTTACCAAGCCACAACGGAGCTCGCCAACAAAGAAGCCACGTACCGGAGGATACTTCGACAGCAGCACTTTCACGCAAACGAAGAACGAGAGGAGCCGACCGAGGAAGAGAGAAGCAAGGAGGCAATAGCAGTACTGATGGAAACTGTGCTGTACACATGCAATTGGCAGCAACGCGAACTGCTGGCCATGCGGCAAATCTTCATCCGCTACGAAACAACTTTTCGGGCGCTGGAACAGAAGATCACCGCCTTGCAGACAGCGAACAGCGATCAGCAGGCCATCAACGACCAGCTGCAGACCACTGTCAGCACAGGGTTCGCACCACTGTCTGCAGTTGAGTCGACGGGCAGTGCAGTAGCAGACTGCAGCCCAGCTTTGGCCGCCCAAGCCAAACAACTCGACGAGCGGATCAACCACGTAGTCGCATCCCTTGGCGACATCAGGAAGTTCGCCGGGACGTCGACGGTCAGCAATCAGCTGCAGACGCTCAGCGACCGCGTTCAACAACGAACGGCCGCCGTCGTCAAGGAATGGAAGATGGCGAACTTCAAGATTGAGAAGTTCGACGACTACCACAAGACTGATCCGCTGTAATGGTGGATGGCATTCAACGCAGAGGCGGACATACATCACGTCCCACCACTGCAGCGGCTTGACGCGTTCTACCTCCAGCTCATTGGAGGGCATGACGCACATGGCCGTCACGTTGGATTGCACCATCGCCACCCTCCATACCAAGATCTCTTGGGAGGAGTTCGAGAAGAAGTGGAAGACCCGGTTCATGGTCAACAACGACAAGCGTCACGCATTGAACAAGATCTTCCGCATCTTTCAAGGCCAGCAAACATCACGGGAATGGCTGACGGAGTGGCAAAGACTCGTCGCCACCTCGGAGTTGAACCTGCCTTTCGACGCAATCCGGGCCGAGTTCTTCGCCCGATCTTGCGACGGCTTGACAGCTGCCCTTGGCAGCGAATTCCAGTATGAGAACTTTGATGAGATGATCTCAAAGGCAAGGAGAACTCATACAAGGTAACCGGCGCTCGGCCAATGAGGCCCGCCAACAGCCCGGTTGCGTGGAGAAAGGCAAAGGTCCGCGGACGCCGCAAGTAGCAGCGATCCAGCAAGGATCTAGTGAGGACCACGCAGCTGTTTCAACATCAAGTGACGGAGATGTGGCGGCAGCGATAGCACCCCAACACTCAAGACCCCGTGGGGGCAAACACAAGGCGAGAACAACGTCGGCGGATGGAGCGAGATAGTCACCATGCACGGGATCACCGAAGACATGTTCAAGTTACGGCAGAAATGCGCTGTTTATAGTGCAACAACACCAAACACATCACTAGTGCCTGCCTCGACAAGGACAAAGAAAATGTCAAGCGTCCAGGCTTGGGAAACTTAGCACCGCGAGAAGTGCAGCGGCATCACTTTCCAGTCCGCCGGACTCGGCTGCCTTGCTAGCAGTCTCTCTCACATCCCCGGACACCGAGGTAGTTGCAAGTTCTCGGATTGACTTCAAGAACTATGCTCTCCAGCTGGTCCCGCCGTTGACCCAGCCTCTCCACGTGCAAGATTCAAGTGCATGCGCGGTGTTACCGCCGTCGAACAACGAACCGGTTGCTTCACCAGCCCTTCTATCGGAGGATCCGTCAACTTGGGCGAGTCTTGAGGAACTCGACCCGTTGACGGTTGAGGACTTCCAATGGTTGCTTCTATGGGCACTGCGTGGATCGTCGTGCCTTTCGGTCTCACCAATGCCCTGCCTACTTTCCAAGCGGCTATGACGACGAAATTTCGTGACTTGCTCGGCCACACCGTACTCATTTACCTTGATGATATCTTGGTTTATAGCCGGTCGCTGGACGAGCACCTTGAGCACCTTCGCGCCATTTTGGAGCGGCTCCGTATCGCCAAGTACAAGGCAAATCGCGACAAGTGGGAGTTTGCCCAGCAAGAGCTGGAGTATTTGGGCCATTACGTTACGCCGCAAGGCATTCGTCCGCTCGCAAACGAAGTACAAGCCATTCAAGATTGGTCGGACCTCGCATGTACTACTGACGTCCGCTCCTTTCTTGGCTTAGCATCATACTACATGCGCTTCGTCAAGATTTTCCAACGGATCGCTGCACCATTGTCGCGACTTCAGTACCCCTTGGTGCTCTTCGAGTTCAATGACGAAGCCCGACACGCGTTCCATATGTTGAAGACGACTTTGCTTCAGGCTCCCGTCTTAAGCATCTATGACCCGACCTTGCCAACCAAAGTGACTACGGATGCTTCCGGCTACGGCATTGGCGTGGTTTTGGAACAACATAACGACACAGACTGGCATCCGGTTGAGTACTTCAGCCAAAAGGTGTCGCCCATCAATTCCCTTGATGATGCAAAGAAGAAGGAATTGCTAGCTTTTGTCACATTACTTGAGCGTTGGCGTCACTTTCTCCTCGGGCGTCGCCGATTCACGTGGGCAACAGACAACAATCTGTTGACTTATTACAAGACGCAAGACACGGTGAGCAGCACGATCGGTCGCTGGATGTATTTCATCGACCAGTTCGACTTCACCTCCAAGCATATTCCGGGCCCCTTGAACAAGGCAGCGGATGCTCTCTCGCGAAGACCCGATCTTTGCACCTTGCTGCACTCCACATTCGGCCTCGACGAGGACCTACAACAACATTTCGTAAACGGCTACAAGTCTGATCCCGGATTCTCCACACTCTACACAGACTTATCATCGGATCAACCCCGACAAGCAACTATCGCATCGCCAATGAAGATAAACCTACTGCTAATACCGATGGACCGGTACCTGGCCTCACCAACTAGCCGTTGGGTCTGGTGGGATCTAAACGAAGCCTACCAGACCCTAAACTGAACCGACTGTTTGTAGGCCTACCTGGACCTGTCTGGGACCGTTGTGACCCGGTACCTAGGCCTAAACTATGCCTACTACAGAACCGTGCCCTAACTGGGGCCCGTGTGGTATCAGTATGCCACACACCCCCCCCCTTGAAGACCGAGCTAACTGCGAGGGCGAARCTGTTTGTCCGATGTCCGTACGGGGCGGGCGGGTTGGGCAGCTTCCTTAGCAAGTCGCTGTTTTTCGTAATGCGCGAAGATGAGGGGTGCTGTCGCCTTCAGGTCAGCTCGTGAAATCCAACGTGTATCGTCGGGATCGCATTGCTTGAAAGTAACTTTGTACTGCATCGGCTTGTTGCCGTACTTGCGATGAGCGAGGACGGGGTCGACCTCCATTGCTTGAAAGTAACTTTGTATTGCATCGGCTTGTTGTCGTGCTTGCGATGAGCAAGGACGCGGTCGACCTCCTGGTGACCATCCATTGAAGGAGGGTCGTGGGGCCGTCTGCCTGGGAATTCCGATTGTGAGGCTGGAGTATAGACCGCCAGCTTCGAAGCGTGAAATACAGGGTGGACTGTCAGATGCAGGGGAATCTCGATTATGAAGGAGGGACCCACGGGGTCGTCGCCAGCTGCTGAAGTGACCTTCCATGGCCCAAACCACTTAGGGAGGAGCTTGCACGAGACGTGCTGCTCGAGCGCGAATTCCTCGGAGGTGACCCAAACAAGGTCGCCAACACGGATTGGACATGGGATGCGACACTGGTTCGCTTGCTGCTGCATACGGACCTGAGCCTTTTGCATATTTGCGTGGCCTTTGGCCAACAGATCCCTATACTTCCGTGTAGAAGCGGGGGAGCAAGCGACGTCGGTATCGGCAGCCCGTGGAAGCAGAATGTCTACGAAGATGCGGCCTTTCCGTCCACCGTGATGCGACTCAAATGGAGTCACGCCGATCGTTGGGTGCACCGAAGTGTTGTAGGTGAACTCGATGTCGGGAAGGAGGTCAACCCAATCCTTCTGATCCGGGCGGATGAGTGTGCGGAGCATCATCTGCGCAGTCTGGTGCGCACGTTCCGTTTGCCCATCCGTTTGAGGATGTCGTGCACAACTCGGTCTCATGCTGGTGCCGGATTCCACCATGAGTGTCGTCCAAAAGGCTGACATGAAACGAGTGTCGCGGTCGTTGACGATGTCTTTCGGAACACCATGGCTGCAAAACCAGCCGGTGTGCAAGAGTCGTGCGAACTCGGGAGCTGTCGCATGATACTTTCGTGGAAGAAATCGAGCGTACTTGCTCAAATGGTCGACGACCGTGAGAATACCATCATGGCCAAGGCGATCGTGAGGGAAAGGATCGGTCACATCCATAGCAATGGAGAGACCTGGTTCCCGAGGAATCGGCAATGGTTTCAGTTCGTCGTTCGGGAGCTGATGGCACCCTTTGTTCCGGTGGCAAACTGCACATGACTGAATGTACCGGTTGACGTCGTTGATGATGTCCGGCCAGTGAAATCATAGGCGGAGTCGTGCCAGTGTGTGTGCGACGCCAAGGTGTCCCGCCAACCGCGAATCGTGGTATTCGCCAAGGAGGCGAGTGGGCAAGATGCGGTCTTGGGGAACACACAACAAGTCCTTGCCTCGCGTATACTGCTGCTGGACAAGCAGTAGGAGGCATTGCTAGACAACCAGAAGCAGAAGGAAAAATTCGAGGTACCTTGTTACTTAGTTTGGCCTTTAAGGAGGCTTTAACTATTTATGGTTTAGTTGTTGCTTTAGCATTATTATTTGCAAACCCTTTTGTTTAAATAAATAGACCTGAATCTAACAAAATTTTTTGTTAGATTCAGGTCTATTTACATATAAAAATCAATAGAATTCATTATCTTATGAGCGAAATAATTCATGTCATAAATCCAATGTCGGACCGGCCGGTGGCGCAGTATAGGCGCCACTGTTTCAGGTTTTGAAATCGGATCTGAACCGTTGGGCCCGATCAACGGTCTAGACCCGAAGGCACTCAGTGGGACTGAGGCCGACCCAGCACTATATAAGCTGGGTACCAGCCTCAGTCGGGTAGGTTAGTGGCGAGGATGTTAGTCTACAGGATTAGCGCAGCACTTCGGCATTAGCAGCGGAGCAGTGGAGAGAATCAATGCAGCGTGGAGGACAGATAGCGCAGCGGCAGAGTAGCGCAGTGGTGGAAGAGCACCAGCCTCCGGCCCAGCCCGCGGCCCAGCGCCCACCCTGCAGCGCCATAGCTGCCTCGCACAGGTATCAGGGAGAAAGGCCTTGCCTTTCCTCCCTCTTCTTCCTCCCTCTCTCTCTCTCTCTCTCTCTCTCTCTCTCTCTCTCTCTCTCTCTCTCTCTCTCTCTCTCTCTCTCTCTCTCTCTCTCCCCTCCTACCCTCTAAGTCTAAGTCTACTTCTGGGTTACTCCTACTGGACCGCTCCGAGTATGAAGGATGGTTACGAGTTCCGATGATGTTGGAGATAGCAACACTGAGACTGCAGGTTGAGGACTACTCGGGATCTGATTTCATCTACCTCTGGATTGACATTGAGATCGATATCTGAGACACTGTGAGACTCTGTGTTCGCGACGTTTTGGATTTTTGCTATTTCTGACATTTCAAGATACTACCTTTGGAAAAATTGAGTTGACGTCATCTTCCCTCTCCTCCATTCATCCGTGAATGAGAATTGACCCTGACCGTTTCTTCTATGACCAAGGCCAGGGCTTCCCACCACCGATGTATGTTTGTGAGTGTTTCGTTGCAGTCTGAGTCAGGTCTGAGCCAATCCATGTATCTCAAGTCTTCCGCTGTATTTGTATGTACTCTGTATTATCTGGTCGGTTCTGGGAATCTGCACCATTCTTATGACTGTCTCACGAGTATGCAACATGGCCACACAGCCTAGGTTTGTACGTTTTCCTGAGCAGGAGACTAACGTCAGTCAACATCTCTCACTCCTGGATGGCAGTCTTCTTTTCAACATTCTGCTTCCCAATTCATGCTGACGTGTTGTTAATTGACCAGTTTATTGGACACAAACGGAGCTCGGGCATCCCTCTTCAGCCCATACCCTTCATGACGCTTATTGCTGCTGCTCAACAGCTAGCTTTCACAATTACATGATGCACAGGAAACAAACTGAGCCTCTAATAACTTCAGATGGAAAATAAAACCATGTACCTATTGAAGCAAAAATTACCTTGTGGGACCCTCTTTTACATCGCCCCCACTTTTCAAGCAACAATTACTTTGTTGAAGCCATGTGTCACACACACACGCGAGCACACACACACACACACAAGTATTTGGTGAAACTGCACAAGTATTTGGATGGAGAGAGAGAGAGAGAGAGAGAGAGAGAGAGAGAGAGAGAGAGAGAGAGAG